GGAAGGAAGAGCAATGAATGTCTTGGTCCCCCTCTGGCAAGAGATTTACTACAACCCAGACAATCCGTTTATTATCCATCTAGCTATATGATCTATTTATTACAAGTTAGAGAGGAAAAAGGAAGTCAGTGTTCCAGCTGGGCAGGAGGAACAATAAGCACATCCATGTGTTCTTTGAGGGTCAGTAGTGGTGGTAGGGCTGGCCGGCAGCTGTCTGGTGGGGATGTCACCTGGCAAGGCCACAGGAAGCTGCATTACCACAGTGCTGTTTGAGCAGCCCTAATCAAAAGCTCCCCAGTGCAAGAAGAGAAGATAAACCCTCCAAATTGCCCATGAAAGGACAAGTCTCCACCCTTTTGGTTTTGTTCAGCTTCTTTGCCAGCCAAGTCTGTGAATGTCAGGGCCTCATATTTTTCAAAAACCAGTGAATTCTCTTCCACTCCCTGTGATACATCCCTTTCAGCAAAACCAGAACAAAACACAAGAAGCAATTAAAGGCTCATGCTGCAATCTCTTAAAGTTACAGTAACTGAGTTATGCCTTGCACTGTCTCAGGGCTTTTATTATTTTGAAAAAAAGATGCCCTAGAAAAATGCAGTAGTTCTGAGGAAGGGTTCTTCTGTGGTTTTGTTTTTTTTTTTTTCTTTTCCCACTAGCCTCCAAATTTCACCTGTAATATGAAAGAAAAAGTCTTAAAGTCTTATGTGTAACTAACTTCAGAGGGAAGGCCTGCAGGTTTTACTCTCATGAACTGAACAGCAGGTCAGACTCAAAACTGCACATAGGATTTTTTAGTGCTTAAAATGTATTAAAAGAATCTTTGAAATTAAGAACTAATGGCAGCAGCTACATACAGTAAACACACTGCTTACTTTAGAGTTAACCCCCACAAAGGACAGATCTATCCCTGGTTCTGAGAGAACACCATGTAAATTCAATGGTGTGAGATTTCGAGCTCCATTCCTCCTTCATCAGGCTGCTTGTGGCAGCTCTATTCATGAGCAGAGAGAAGTGGGGGTGGATGGTCTGCATAAGCATTTGGAGCTAATGCACCTAAATTTTGAAGTGCCTTTTAAGTGTGTAAATTAGAAAACCTATAGCAAGAGAACAACTGCTGCAAATGCCAGAATAATTTTGTCTTGGAAAGAGAAGAAATAAAACAGTCTCTCCACTGATTTCCTCTTTCTTTTTTCCCATTAGGAGAACAGAAAAATGATTGCAGGTTGATTCACACTGTTCTGATTTTTTTCTCTCAACTCTTATTTTTAGATTCTACCCAGGATTAATGGGTGTTCATCAGACCCACAGGATGGGAGCAGTGCAGAGCAGAGTGCCAAATGTGAATCAGGATGGGCAGGGAAGGAAGGGGAGAAAGGGGAAGGACACAGTAAAGAAGTTCTGCCTGTTTGCCACTGTGGACTATGAAAAAGGCACAGAAAAAGATTTTTCTCTCAAAAAACCCCCTCACTGCTCCTCCCCATCCCCCTTCACTCATGCAGGAATGAAATGAACCCCTTCTCTGCCTTGTCTGATTTCTGTGTTGTGATCGGAGAACTTGGAGGATGTGACAGCAAGAAAAAGGGAGCAAGCTGAGTCTCAAATCAGGAGACTTACTTTGAAACCCTTGCAGACACCATTCCCTCCTAAAGGGGCTCTCATTTCTTCTAGGTTGCTACTGCTAACATTTTAATAGAGTTATTTTTTAAATCCCTTATTTTTCCAGTTACACGGGGGGAACAATACTCTTCTTCCTAAACATGAGCAAACGTTTGCCAGCCCACCAGAAACCCCCAGTTTCTCACCATCACTGTAGCTGGCTTCATCTACAACATCAAAGATGCTGACAGGCAGGGTCCCCAAACTGGGTGGCAACCACACTGTGATAAAGGCAGTGAGCGCTGAAAGTACTGAGTAATGGGGACACACAGAAACCCTGCCTGTGCTCACACCCCCACAGAAAAGCTCTCTAGTGTGACCTGCTCTCTCAAACCCAGCTGTTGCCACCGTGGTTTCAGTGTATAACAGCAGCTGACTGCTAGATGACATCTGAGGTAAGTTTACTGTGTCTGGATGAGGTTCAGTTTCTCCACAGCAGCCCAAACCCTGCTGTGTGTGCTTCAGCCCTGTGAGCAGAACAACGTTGATAACTCAGCCATGTTTAAGTTATTGCTGAGCACTGCCCACAAAGCATCAAGACCTTCTTTGTTTCTCACTCTGCCACTGCAGCAAGTAGGCAGGGGGAGGTTTGGGAAGGGATAGAGCTAGGAAAGCTGAACTCAACTGACCAAAGGTATATTCTACACCCTCAGTGTGTGTGGAAGAGTCCACAGAGGTTTCTCTATTTGTGTGTATTTAAAACAAAAAGGCAAAACTAGCTGGTAATCTGGAGCAGACAGGGAGAGTTTCACTGAAAATGACTGCTCTGTGATACACCTTGTGAAATACACAACTGACAATTCAGGAGATCTGGAGATCTTGTCTGGAGTTCTTCCCTGTTTCTTAGCACAAAGAGACAAAAAGCTGAAGGCCACTGAAATTAACAAGTGTGCTGTCCCCACAGCACAGGGGACACATGTCAGATTTGTGGATTGTGTTGTAAAGGGAAAAGGACCTCTTGATAGGGAACAAATTGACACTCTAAGCCAGGCTAGCTGGGAGGGTCAGGTCAAATAAGCAACCACAAGCACATTTAGCACAAACGTGGTATCGATGAGAACATCAACCAAAGCAAAGGCTGTGAGAAGATGACCCTTTCCAGTTGCTTATATGCTAATTACAGGATTCTGAAAAAAATGGATAAACCCTCTGCCTATGCAAAATACTGCTCTTGAAAAATAATAGCTATATTTAGACTATTATGTTATTAACAGAAACAGCTGTAGCCAATTAAAAAAATCCAAATGGAAGAGGGTGGTGCCAGGCATATGTGTCACAAATGACATCTGAGTGACTGACAACTAGGAAATAAATAATCTTGGAGAGTTACAAGGAAGATGAGCTTCTTCAACACTTACATACAAGAAGTACAGAATCCCTTCTTGGGTTACTGTGGAGACCTTATGTCACTAGCACTAACACAGGCCTGTCCTTTCCAAAGGGCTACAAGTTACTAACGCCTAAATTCAAAAAAGGACTGGCCTTCCTAACCTTGTGAAATTAAGCTCTTGCCAACGAGTCATTTACAACACTGGCCTCGCAGCACCAAAGGGGACAGGAGCAGCTGACAGCACCATCACCACAAGGTGAAGAGCTGAGCTCCACCACACACGAGCTCAACCCCACGGTGGTCACAGCTGAAGTGCCTTGAGTCACACGTGGGTTAGCACGGGAGCCAGAGCATCCCTGCTCGGGACTTTGTCAGTAGAGAGGAAATGGTAACAAACCAGAAGTTACTGGTTGCTCAGACTGAAAAGGACCAACACTTTCTGTGGAAATAGTTAACATAGTCTGCAATCAAATCCAGACCAGAATTTTATGCAACATGTGAGCGTACGCTCTTTATAGATACATAAATTAAAATCTAGTGGCATGCTTTCTGAGAAGCAATTTCACAAAACTAGAGCAAATGGGAGTCAAATCAGGCTGAAGGCAGAACATACAGAAAGTTGCTGACATCTGCAAGCAGTTTAAGACATTTCCTAAATGCCTATACTGTTACAAGCATGGAAATGGGCTAGATAAAAATAACACACAACGAAAAAACCCAACAGCTGGGTTTATCAGGGAAGTGAAAAAACATATAAAATGTTATATAGAAATATATATTATTATTATTATATATATAGCACATGAAAGGGGAAAGAGGAAGAGATAATAAGTAGCAAAAAAAGCTAAAATAAAGATTATATACAGGAATCAAGGAGATATTAGAAAAAAAAGGTGGCACATAAAATCAGAAATACATTTTAAATTTTTTAAAGCAGATTATGAAAGATGAATCCCGAACAATAAAAAATGTAGAAATGTTCATTACAATATGACAGCAGCAGAAGTTATTCAGTAAATGTTTCCGATTAGCACACAGGTAAAAGGCTGGATGATCTGTTTATGATGATGATAATGAAATAGCTTCCCACCACAGCAGCCCCTGGAGAGGGGATGTTAAGCAGTAGATAAACGATTCTGGGTGATTCAGATTAGTTGCTAGAAATAAACTTGTCTCAGAAGGTTTACAGAGGCAGCCTTGGAGCTGCTACTGCATCTAAAGCAGTTCTTGGCCTTTGGGGAAGGACCAAGGACAGGCAGAAGGCTCATACTGGGCTACTATTTGAGAAGGGTAGAAAGTAATTACAGCCCAGTTGGATGAGTCTCCAGTATTTTGCAGAGCATAGAACAACCAGCATTGGTCTCAATTAATAACTTTTTTCAAAGCTCTGTAATTAAAGTCAATTAACTTGGCTTTAAGGAAAATAGATCCTGTCAAACTAATTTGATGTAATGTCTTGCAAAAATTACAAGTACACTTATAAAGGCAGCATCATTAACAGTATTACAAACCTAAGTCATTTGACTAGTTCTGTAGAATATCTTTATGAATGCTTTGAAGCCTACATGGAATGTCTCCATCTGTACAGGGAGAACAGGACTCCATTGGTGGAGAGCACTGTATAAGATCAGGCTAAAACCTTAAACCTATTTTATACTGAAGTCACTTTTGAGTCCACAGTCATATTAGAAACATTAAAAAGCTGCTAAATTAAGGAAACCAAAGTGGAACTGTAAATTGGAACTATTTATTAGCAAACAAATGGGTTCCTGTTGGATTCCACAGGCATTGGTGATCATCTCTTTACTATTTAATAGCCTTACCAGTGACTTGGATTAAAGTTAAGTCATTGTGGTTAGACATGAGACTAGGAATGCAGAAAACAAACCACAAAAGAACAAGCCTGACAGAGAGCAACTGAGGTCTGTAGAAAAATGGGAGAAACCAGTTTAGGTGTTAATATGACTAAGCAAAAAATCCCCTTATGAAAATGCAGAATCCAGGCCATACTTACAGGATGAGAGGGAGAGAGAGGACTCTATCCTCCGAAGCACAGATTGAATGTGAGACCAGGGGTCCTGGGAAGCAATCAGCTCAACATGAATTCCCCTCGCAAGGCTGTGGCCAAAAGGGCTAATGCGAGCCTCAGCTGTACAAACAAATGAAAATCAAAAGATGAGTAGGTAGGTTACGGTGACGCTGTGTTTGGTTCTTGTTCCTCTGCTCCGTGAATAACGTATTGGGTTCTGCTGCTCCATTTTACTGTTGGAAAAACTGGCAGAGTGCTCAGGGAAGAGAAATTAAATAACTGGAAACACTGGGCTGCAGAAGGCTTCGCTATAAACAAAAATCTTAGAGGGAATTTTGTTATTTTGTTCATGGTATAGCAGTATTCTTACACTGAATAAATTTGATAACAGCAGGCTCTGATCTAGCAAAGGTAGAAATTACATCAGGACTGGAAACTATTCAAATCCAGGCTGTGAACAAGCAAGTTTGTTCTGCTTGTTCAGCAATGGTGTGTTATAGCAAATTAACCAGTAATTAACCCTTTGCACCACAGGTTATGAGGTACTGCCCACCTCTGCAAAGTTGAGAAAGCAACCGCGCTTGATTCAAGAAGGACGCATGCCCACACGGCTTGGGTTAATTGCTACAAAGCAGGAGCTCCTGCAGGTGAGCTGAGTGGTCACTGCACCACACTGTGCTCTGTGCTGCCACCAAGAAACATTCCTTCTCCTTGCAGGGTATTAATCCTGGCAGCCTTCCTGCTCACAGCTTACAAAACACCTCTGGAGAAACCCCAGGCTTTTGGGGATGAGGTGCCACTTAAATACGGATGACGCCCAGCTGTCCATCTTCTGCAGGAAGCCTCAATTCCCAGGACCTGGCTGTGTACAAAATCTCACTGTATAAAGCTCCTCACTCACAGTGAGATGCCAAGGAAACCACTTTTAGGAAACAGATGGGTGTTGTTACGACTCTGCCACTGAGAAAGCACCAGCGACTCCTTGTTTCAGCAATTCACTTTATCTGCTGTGTGCCACTGGGACCTTGTCCTGGGGATCTGGCTGGGATCTCATCCCCGCAGCACCCGGTCACAGAAGGTGACCTCAGAGAATCATGCTGTGGAAAAGAGTCCTCCATCCCTCACTGGTATTTCCTCTCCCAAATTCACCCTTTTAGGATGAACCAGTGGACAAGCTACCTTCTTCATGGAAATTCTTTATGTAGAATGAATGGATGAGAGCACCACTCCTGCAGGTCTCCTCCTTCCCTTTCTGCATGCTGAGGGAACTGGGTTCTGCCAAGAAAGCTTTTAGCTATCTGTCCCAAGGCTGGGGTTGGGCATTTGGGTTCCTGAGGACCATGTGTTCAGCTGTGGGGCCCTGGTGACTGAATTTGCTTCATCTCACAGCCTGCCAATATTTAAATTTGATGTTTTTAAAAGAGGCAGCACAAGCTTTTGTGCATGCTGCCTGTCTTAACCTGGGCCTTTGGCCAGAAAGTATTAATCCTATCAATGTGCAGGAGTGGGAAAGCTGGAAGTGTTTGATTTGTGCCAGTTGCCGGCACCATCTCATTTTAAGCTTCTGGAATGAACCCATTTATGACTGAATGCTGCAGTGTAAATTCTGCAAATAAAACAGATAAAATAATCTCAATTACTTGAACTTGGGACTAGTTCACATATGCCACTCCACAGATTTAGAAGGCGTTATTTCATACAAACATCTAATTAAATTTAATTACGGTTCTACAGTTATTTTTATGATAAACAGGTGGAAAAAATGTGTTACAGCATGCACAGCATAGTAAAATCTTGGTCATATGTCACAAACATAAAAGAAAGATCCTGTCTTCAGTAAACATGTAGTAGAAAGCTTCTGCAGAGTGAATCACAGCAAGAAAGATTGCAAAAATTTTAGGGAGGAAAAAGGCCTGTCCAAGTGTGGTGTGTACGTACGTGTATGTGTACATGCATTCACACACACCCCACTGCTTCAGCTCTGCCATATCCAGCATTCCTACCAACAGTTCCTGTCAACAGTCAGCTCAAAACTCTGACTGGCAACTCCTTAGTCACTAACAGAGCAGAAGTTTAGGGAAAGCTGATCGAGGACAAGGTTTCAGAGCTACTAATAAAACATGCATCAGAGCCTGCAAAAGTACAGTTTGAATTGTGCATTTGTGCATCTTTATACTTTTTGTCCTCCTGGATACATTTTTCCCCCTCTCCCTCTGGCACAACCCCAGCTACATCCTACAGCATGAGGATGTCCTGTTAAGCACACATGCAACTGTGTTTTTAAACGTTGTAAAGGCTTCTGTCAAAAGATGTACCAAGGATCACACAGGCCAGACTCTAGAAATAGAATTTTACAGATGAAGTAACTGTGATAATCTTCCTAACTATAAACATTAAAAACTACATAGAAGTAAAGAGCTTTAATACATGGATTTAAAAAAAAATCTTTTTTTGAAATATTGCAAAATAGATCAGATGCAAGGCTTTTCCTTTTATTCTAGACACACAGACACAGAATTAAATAGGGGAATGTGAAACTAACCATCCCATCTGCCTTTGTAATTCACCCAGGCTAGACTCAGAAATGCTATGGAATTTAATGCAATGAACCCCAGAAGTGTCACTTTCACAAATCTCAAGAGGCATCATTGACCTGAGGCTGGCTGCAGTTTCTGCCCCAATTTCAGTTTAATGTATTCCAGTCTGACCCTCGAGCGACAGTGCTGCTGGAGAACACGCTAAGGAACAAATGCAGGCAATTGCTTTGACATAATTCTTTTGGACGCAGGCAGATCGAATGTGCTGATGTCAACAGAGACCAGAAAAGAGTTTTATCCAATTCCTTTCCTCACTGAAGAAAACAATGAGAGGAAACAAAGCACAACCCAAACCCCAGCCAAACAACATGCCCACCTCCCAGCAGCAATCCTGATACATGCTAAGAAAGGGAGAACCAAGGGAAACGGTCCTAAACTATCATTTGTATGCATACACAGCAATTCATTCATAGCTTAAATTTACACAGCTTGTGTATATCATCGGCTCTCTGCACATAACATGCATGAAACATCTGTCCTATAGGAAGTATTAATTTAAAACCCCAGGAACAGCTTAATGGCTGTTCAAACAGTCTTTTGTGACCACAGAATATTCAAAAGAGTTCCTAACATAGCTCCCTCTACTTAATGTAAAGTACTCTTCTTCCCTTTCTCACATGCTTCTAAAATTTGGACATGCTCTCAATATAATTGTCAGGACTACACCTTCCTGCCTTGCCACTCACTTAAATATCCAAGCTCTAGCACGCTCTGGGGCTGCATAGTTGGAAGTCAGAGAACGTTGAGACAACACTGACTTTTTTCTGCCCAGGGACAACAAGAAGAGAAGCTGGGGATATTTTTTCCATAAGAAAGATGAATTATGGTAGGAAACCAGATCAAGGATTCTACAATGTCTATCCTGAGAATAAAGGACCGAGCTAAAGATTTTCTTCTCCCCCTAGTGATGCTGCTCCTGAAATGACTTCTGTAAAAAGAGGAAGACCCACACATCAATTATACAGTTTTTCAGAACTCACTAGGGAAAATACCAGGGTTGAACGTGGCTGGTCCCTCAACTTTATACAATAAAAAACAAACAAAAAAGAAGATCTCAAGCTCATTTCCTCCTCTCCCTTTTACTGCCTCTCCTAAGAACAGCTTCTAGCTCTGCTATTTACAGTTTTTCTTTTCTCCCAGTCCTCCAGCTCCTCCCCCATCAGTCCATACAGAAAGATTGTCTGCAATGGTTTAACACAAAAAACAGATGAGATACTTAAGGCTTCCCCTTTCTGTGTGCCTGGAGTGTTTCCAGGAAGAGAAAGTCTTGTGAGGATTCTCACTTTGCTCTTCTGCAGCTACTTGTGTGGGTCACTCTACCACAATAAAAGCCTGCATCTGTTACCTGACCACGACTGAGAGACAGTTGAAGAATACCATTTTTAATGGTAACTTTCCGTAGGAAGTGTGGTCTGAGAGAAGACTGGTCATGTGCAAGAGCCACTGAAGCTGCTTGATGTGGAACATTAAACCACCCCTACAAAAAGCAGAAGCAGACTTTTGTCCTTTGTCTACCCCCTTTATGTGACCTGCCCCCAGAATGTGGCCACAAGCTGCGGTCCACAGCTTGGCTGAGCATCAGAAGCCGCAGAATCTTTTACTCTGTGCAGGGACCTGCATCAGCATCACAAGGCTCAGGCAATAAGGATTTTAAGGCCACCAATCATCAGGAATTATATACAATTTAGTCATAAAATCATGGAGTGGTTTGGGTTGGAAGGGACCTTAAAGACCATTTTGTTCCAACATTTTGCCATGGGCAGGGACACCTTTCACAAGACCAGGTTAATCCGAACCCCACCCGTCCTTGCCTTGAACACTTCCAGGGATGGGGCATTCACAACTTCTCCAGGCAGCCTGTTCCAATGCCTCACCACCCTTACAGTGAAGAATTTCTTTCTCATATCTCATCTAAGCGTACCTTGTTGAAGATCTTTATTAATGGCATAGGCAGTGAGATTGAGCACACTCTCAGCAAGCTTGGGGATGACACTGAGCTGAGTGGCAGCACTGACACACGGAAGGGAAGGGATGTCATCCAGAGGGACCTTGACAGGTTTGACAGGTGGGACTGCACAAACCTTGTGAAATTCAACTAGGCCAAGTGCAAGGTCCTGCACCGGGGTGAGGGCAATCACCAACATCTGTACAGACTGGAGGATGAAGGAACTGAAAGAAGCCCTATGGAGAAGTACTTGGGGGTGCAGGTGGATGAAAAATTGGATATGAGCTGGCAACATGGGACTCCAGCCCAGAAAACCAGCTGAATCCTGGGCTGCATCAAAAGCCGTGTGGTCAGCAGGTCAAGGGAGGTGATTCTGTCCTTTTACTCTGCTCTTGTGGGATCTCACCAGGGGTTCTGCAACCAGCTCAGGGATCCACAGCACCAGACCTTGGACTTGTTGGAACAGGTCCAAAGGAACCTGTTCCTATCATCCATAAAGAAGATTAGAGGGATGGAACACCTCTGCTGTGTAGACAGGCTGAGAGAGTTGGGGTTGTTCAGCATGGAGAAGAGTCCAG